CGTACCCTAACCCTAACCCTAACCCTAACCCTAACCCTAACCCGTACCCTAACCCTAACCCTAACCCGTACCCTAACCCTAACCCCGCACCCTAACCCGTACCCTAACCCGTACCCTAACCCTAACCCTAACCCCGCACCCTAACCCGTACCCTAACCCGTACCCTAACCCAAACCCTAACCCGTACCCTAACCCAAACCCTAACCCTAACCCTAACCCTAGCCAAGGGCTGTCCTGATGCAGGCCTACCACCAGGTGGCAGCACACACCTTGTTATTCCCCAGGGGACTTTCCCACACCCTGCTTCCATCATCCCTCCCCACCTCCTTTGTTTTCTTTGCATTCTCCCTCCTGCACAGCTTCTTAATTACAGGCAATAACTTTTAAGCATGGGTTCCACCAAAACCAAGTCAGTCACTCATATGATTCTGCACATGGTTATCAGATGTCTCTCCCACGCCAAACTTATCATCCAGGAATGAGCAAACATGAGAACACCCTCTCTCAAGGAGTTAGACCCGACTGGGGCGGCCACGTAGGCCAGTACTTAACGCCAACATGGTAATGCATGTGAAAGCCCTTTCCTTCCCATAGAGGGCTGCATCCTTCCAAGGCGTTCCTGACAGGCAGAGGAAGCCAACAGGGACATACTGAGATAATAGCCAGGAATTTGTGAAAGGGTCTGGGACCTCAAGGACATAGCGGTTGTACAAGAGATAGGGGAGGAGGAAGAATTGGAGAAACAGAAGGCACAAACAGAAAAGGAACCACCAGACTTTTCCATTTAGAAGGTGGGGTTTCCCAGAAATCACGATGGTTATGAGGGAGGAAAGCTGAGGTGCAGTCAGGGGGCAGTGATTGGACTTGGGAATGCTGCAGGTGGAGGATCTAAGAAGTCAGGTTGCTGCAGGGGCCACACTGTGGACGCCGGAGCAGTGTGGCAGGGGACAGGGTGTCTCAGGGACCTCAGGACAAGCCGTCAGTGAAGAACACAAGGAGCAGTCAAAGCTTGGTGTAGACTGAGCCCAAAGGTGCAGGAAGTGGTCAAAGTTACCCATGTCCACCCTGATATACACAGAATGAGCAGTGAGAGCCAGGGGATGCCAAGGTGAAATCTCCATGGAAGAGCATCTGGAAGTCTTGGGCTGGGACAGAGGCAAGGAGGAAGGGAGGGTGTGGAGGGAGTGCGTATAGGGGGAGGGCAGCGAGCGGGGGAGGGCATGGGGGATAGGGGTGTGAAGGGGAAAGGCCAGCAGGTTGTAGCCTGGAAAGGCCTGGGCCCAGACTCAAGCTGCTTTGTTGGGAGGGGGAACCTGACCTCATCTGCAGGGTAGCAACAGAAAACTGGGGATCAGACAGGACCCTGGGGCCATGAGGCTTGTGGTATTCCTGGAGCCCACCAAGACTGCATCGAAACTTGGAGTCAATGCTAGAAATGACCTAAGGGCTGGCTGAACCAACCTCCTCACTTAATGAATAAGAAAAGGGAGTCCCAGACATAGAAATGTTTTCCAAAGCCCATCTAGCAAGTCTGGAGAAGCTAGGACTAGAATCCAGCTCTCGGCCCCTCACTCAGCCGTGAGCTCTCACCCAGGATCCTGCAGGCTGAAGGACACAGAGCCTGGGGAAGGTCCACCAGTGTGCCTGTGTTACAGCCCCATTATAATACCTGGTTTGATACCGACAACTTAGAAGGGACAAACTTCCCTGAGGGACGACAACAGGAAGGCTGCAGAGGAGGGGGATTTGGCCCACTCTTGGTCCTGGGCACTGGGAAGAAAGACATGCTTACATGGTTGCTTAATTGTTTTAACCACAGCTCAGGAAATCATACCCTTTTCTTTCAATGGCAGCCTCCAGAATCACTGTCTGGAACCAGAAGAATGGCCCCAAATCATGCCCTAGCAGGAGGCTCTGAGATTCCCCAAGGAGAAGACCCCACTACCCACCACCCTACAGCCCAACCTCTGGCCTCGGTTGGCAGTGGTGTTGGGGCAGCGACTGATGGAGCCAGAAAGAGCCTGCCTGTGTCAGGACTTCCACAGCTCAGCCCTAGCCTCTCCTGAGCTGGGGCTAGCCTGGGACCATGGGGCCACTGCGGTCTTCCGATTCAAGGGAACCCACTGCCAACATGCGATCCACAGGTGCAGACTCCCATCTGTTTCAAAGCCTGTCCAGCTGCTCGCTCCCACCAGCTGCTGGTCCTGTTCTCCACCTCCCCCATTTTACTTAAATCCTGACTCGACACTCTACAGTCACACACAAGGGCTCTACAGAAAGTCACGGGGCAACAGACCAGTGTTCATCGTCATGCTTACTCATTTCTTCATTTATTTGTGCACTCCTGCATTTATTCATCCAACAAATGTTCATCCAGCGCCTACATAGCCAGGCCCTTGCTTTGACCTAGGACGGCAGAAGTGACTCACGCAGTGTCCCTGCCTTGAGGAGCCAAGCAGAGCAGAGGAGGCAAGCCAGATACAGGAAAGGTCGGACAGAGCAAGAGCTTAAGGGACAGCACCCATCGTTAAGCCCTCCACACATGCTTCCTGGGTCAAGGCGTAGCAAGGCTGCCATGCCTGGACATGATCCTTCAACAAATGTGAGGTCTCCCATCTGCCAAACCCGGGACTGTGTGCTCAGGAGGGTAGGAACATGAAGAACTTCCCTTGCGGATCTACAGACAGTTGTCAGACACAGGCTGAACATGTACACGACCTAGGAGAGGAAGCGTTGGGAGCCGGAAGTGGTGCAGGAGCAATCTGGGGGAAGAATAGTTGTTTCCAATCAGAAAGAACAGAGCAGGCTCGTGGATGAGGTGGCATTTGACCTGAGCCACAAGGGGTCCGTAGGACTGCACCCTGTCATGGGTGAAGGGAACTCGGTGAGAGCACCAAAGACAAAGGCCTGGGGTACACGGGGCAGGTGGGCCTCCTGTGACCCCAAGTGAGGAGCTGGAGGGGGACAGGAGGGGAGGCTGACGGGGCAGGGCAGGTGCTTCTAGGGAGCTTTGTGTGCTGTGCTAAGCAGCTCAGCTTTCTGCCCCGGGCAGAAAGGGAGGTTTGTAGCCAGGGAGGGACAGGTCTTGCCCAACGAGAAGCTACATAAAAATACTTGTCTTCTACGTTGTAAGTTCCTAAAGGCACGGTTCTAGAGACACATTCACCCTGAGGATCACTCAGATCGCAAGAGGGAGGTGTGAGCGGAATCGCCCTTAACCAAGAACCAGGATGTGTGGGCCCAGTTCCTGCTATGTCACCACGCAGGCCCCTCCAGGGCATCAGTTCCTTTATCTGCAATACAAGGGGGTGGAGCACTTCCAACAACCCTCCTAACCCCAACTCACACCCTGTGAGTCCAAGAACCCCGTGCCAACACCTCAACCTCCAAGGAGTGCTTATCACAGAGCCAGGCAGACATAGGAAGGCTCAGCCAGCCTTGTTGGGCTGCACGCATGGGGGAGGCAGAGCCAGCAGCCACTGACTGACCCAACCTCAACGGGAGCAGGGGGAGAGTGAGGGCTGCCAGGGGAGAGGCAGCTGGCTTGCTCAGGTAGGGCAGGGGGTTGGGGTGGAAAGGAAGTGAGCTACCCAGCCAGCTTCCTCCCAAACCAGCTCCAGGCCCAGGGCTGGGCATTTCACAAAAAGGCCAAAAGAGCTTTGTGAACATTTCCTGTCCCGCCCCAGCCCCTTTCCTGGCACTGATAGTCCAGCTCAGGGTTACCACACTGCTCACCCGTGAAGCAATCTTCCCACGGGAGCTGGGTATCTGGCCAGAAGCTGCCTATAAATGTTGGACACGCACGGCGCTGTCAAATCCCTCTGTGTGGCTCCTTGACTTGGGTAAGTGAGCTCTCAGCTTCCCCCACACACATCCCGACTCCTTCTTCACCTCCCTGCCACGACAGGCCTCCTCCAAGGCCTCCTCCTGGAACCCCTCCTCGACTGACCCACCCACTTGAAAATTCCCTCACACTTTCTGGGATCATATTCTGCTGGAGCCTCTTGTGCTCAAATGCCTTGCTCTTCTTTTCCTTCTGTGTTTCCCCTGTTGTTCCTACGTGCAGCTTGTGGGAGGTGTCAGCGGAGCTCAGCAGCCTCTTCTTCTAAACACCCAAACCCTCGCTGGTCCACTCCTCAGACAGAGTGCAGGAAGATGGCGGACCAGATGTCACAAATGGAATGCAGCATCGAGACCATCATCAACATCTTCCACCAGTACTCTGTGCGGCTGGAGCACCCGGACAAACTCAACCAGAAAGAACTGAAACAGCTCGTGATAAAGGAGCTGCCAAACTTCCTCAAGGTAGGCAGATGCCCCTGGCAGGCCTGGCGCAACCAGGGGCAGTCCGGCCTAAGGCTGGGGCATGGGGGTGCACTCTGCAGTGGCCAAGGAGGAAATTCCAACTCCTTCAGCCCAGCCTCCAGAGGCACCGGGCACCGTGTCACTGGAGTTGCTCCAAGTTAGAGAGCAGACTGACGGGTGGTGTATGCTGTGTGCGGGACCCCTGTCCTGGGCAGGAGTGCGTACTGACAAACAGGGACCCGCCGTTGGGACACACAGCAAAGATGTTGGCCAACAGGGAGCACAGATAAATCCAATGCCCGTTAGTGCCCCAAAGGACACATAAGAGAGAGTGCTGGGGGAGATTTGGGCTGGGTGGGGACAGCTGTCCACTGGTTGGGTGGACAAGGAGGTGACTTTTTGAGCTGACACCTGAATTGGGGAGGGAAGCAACTAAGGATGACCCACGGCAGAAGCGGAGAGGACACTGACCCTCAGCTAGGTCTCAGAGTGCAAAGGCTGAGGGGTTCCCTAACCCTAAGGGTCCAGAGTAGGAAATACATGCACCGGATGTACAAAAGCACCCTGTCAAGCAGTGGCGTGCACACAACACTCAGTAACATAATTAGCTTATTTCCCCGATCTGCAAATGACCAGGCAGTTCTAGGGGGAAGAAAAAGAAAGGAGGATTGGTCCCATCCGCTCTTTCAGTTTTCTTTACAAGTTTGGGGACTTTGGGGAAACAGAAGCCTGGACTAAGAAGAGTGAGGTGCCTGAGTCCCAGTCTCAGTTCCATTCCTGGGGCAGGGGGCAGCCCTCTCCGAAGCCCCATGCAGCTCAGGAGGCGACACAGGGGGGATGCTGACAGCTCTCCACTGGTGCAGACACTGGGAAGCAGGGTGCTGGATCAGGACAGGCTGCAGAGGGTACAGCCAAGAGCTGGTGGGGAGAGGTTCTCCTGGGTGTGACTCCTACACCTGCCCCGCCACCCACCTCTCTTGTCCAGCAGGGGGAGCTGAGACCCTGCCAAGCAGACGCTCCACGGTGACTCTGCCCAGGGACAGGAGGAAATGTGCAGAAGAGAAGGCTGTGGCGAGGCGCTGCAGGGGTGGGAAGGGCCTGGGGCTGATCGGGGCACCCACCGTGTCTGGGGAGGGGACTCAGCCGAGCCTCCCCAGCCAGTGGGTGGGGCCGACTGTAGCCCGCACCCTCCCCCTCCTGCCCTCCCCCCAGCACACTTCATCACACCCTTTGGGGTCGATGGGGAACATACCTTGCTCTTTAGCACAAGACACCAACCATCTTGTTCTCCTCAGATAAGTCCCCCTCCGTAGCTTGGAATGAGTGTCGCCAATGAGTACCCTAGAGAGGGAAGGGAGAGGTGGGAGAAGGGGAGGGAGCGGGACAGACAGGTGGAAGGGCCGGGACAAGCCCGGGCTCATGGCCACTCTCCAGCTCCCAAGCCTTGTCAATCTGCACGAACTAGTTCCCCTTTCCTGAGACAGTTTCCTCAAGGAAGATACCCAAGTCTACCTGTTAAGCTTGTTATAAACACCAAATGAGGTGACATTTCGGTTCATACTAATTATGTGACCTCAAGCAAGTCACTTGATCTCAGTTCCTCTCTTGTAAAATGGAGAGAATCGTAGTGGTCAGGTTATGTCCAGAATAAATCAGCAAGCGTCCAGCACATGTCCAGCATCTGCTAGACTGTGGGCATCAGTCAATGGTCATTTTTAATTTTTTAACTGAGGCCTAGGAGCCAGGTTTCCCCGTGCCTTTGCCCGGGGTCATTGGCTGAACTCCCTGTCCCCAGCGCTGGCCACACCCAGCCCTAACTGCCCTGTTGCCCCCACCCACAGAAGCAGAGGAAGAATGACAATGCCATAAACAAGATCATGGAGGACCTGGACACAAATGGAGACAAGGAGCTGAACTTCGAGGAGTTCTCCATCCTAGTGGGTAGGCTGACGTTCGCCTCCCACGAGGAGATGCACAAGACCGCCCCTGAAGGAGAAGGCCACAGCCACGGGCCAGGCTTTGGGGAAGGTGGCCAGGGCCACTGCCATAGCCACGGTGGCCACGGCCATGGCCACGGTGGCCACGGCCATGGCCACAGCCACTAATCGGGAGGCCAGGATACCCTGCCCCTGCCCAACTAGGGCCACAGAGAAGCCAAACTGCCTTAGCTGGGGGATTGGGGAATGGGGGGCAAAATAAAGTCTTCCTCCAAGCCAGCACTCTGCGTGCTTCTTCCACAACCCCCTTCCCAACCTGTCCTTCCGAGGGCCTGGGTGGTACACGGCCCTGCCCCTTAACTGCTCAACCCCTTCATCTGGTAATAACAAAATGAGAAGCCACAGTAACGTGGGTCTGTTTTAAGCCCCCTGGACTCACTTCCCTAACCATTTCCTCACCTCTGACCTCAGGCCCCACTACTCACCTCAGTCTAGCTCAGGACTTCCCTGTACTGTCAAATTGGCCCTCATTACCACAGGAAGCAAAAGGTCCTCTCGACATGCAGGCCACCCCCCACCCAGCCCTGACCCCCACCTTCACCCAGTGCTGTCCACCATCTTCCACAACCATCTGTCGTCTCCTAAGAGACCTCGTTCCTCTGGAAGTTACCCAGAGGTGCACCTAGATGGGCTGTGTCTAACAAAGGATACTGGATTGGGTGTGTTTGCCCATAAATTGAGTTCTGAATCCATGGGAGCAAATCGGTGTCTCTTCACAGACCTAGCATCCTCATCATGGATGGGCACTGGGGCAGGTGCAGACACAGATGACAGTGGGGGAGTCTGACCCATGCCCACCCAGTGCCAGCAGGATGGAGAGAGAGAAGAGCCCTACCTGCTGGATGGAAGAATGAGCTCCAATCATGTCCCTGCAGCTATAAAGCTCAACCCCTACCATGAGGAGGTTGGACTTCAGGTCCAGAGATCCCTGCACAAACGAAGAAAGTGAGACAGAACGGAGAAGGGACCAGTCCAAGGCCATAAAGTGGTGCAGATGCTCAAAGTAGTGCAGAAGGGCGCCTGGGTGGCTCTGTTGGTTAGGTATCTGCCTTCAGCTCAGGTCATGATCCCGGGGTCCTGGGATCGATCCCCGAGTCAGAATCCCTGCTCAGCGGGGAGCCTGCTTCCCCTTCTGCCTCTGCCCCTCCACCTGTTCGTGCTTGCTCTCTCTCTCTCTCTCTCTCTCTCTCTCTCTCTCTCAGAAAGAAAGAGCTCAAGTGGGTGGGGCGACAGGCAGAAGGAAAGGGAGAAGCAGTCCCAGGACCCTGGGATCATGACCTGAACCGAAGGCAGACCCTTAACCGACTGAGCCACCCAAGCACCCCAATAAATGAAATCTTTAAAAAAAAAATAGTTCAGAGACAAAAGGACCTCAAATCCCATCTTCTCCATGGGCTGGCTGTCCCGGCTCCTTCCCCACTGCTGAGCAGGAAGAAGGAGAAGGTCAGGTTTCCACTGCCCCACACTGGCTGGCTGTACCTGGGTCCCAGGCTGTCTGCAGGCGGACTGTGCAGGCCTCTATTCTAAGCGTCCAGGGGCCTCTGCTGTGGGTACAGAGATTTGATGGCTCCCACTTGAGGGCATAAGGGTGAGGGTGTTTCCAGGAACTGCTCCAGGCTGTGTGAGCTTGGGGAGCAGAGTTTAGAAGCCCCCAGTCCCTTCCCTGCCTGACTTAGGGAGCTGACAGCTGGGGACACTCACCTTCTGATAGACCTTCTCCCTGATCTTCATGGCCGGGGAGGAGCCACCTTATGGATGCAGCTTCGTAGGAGAAAGAGAACCAGTCTGGGAGTCGGGAGCCCTGGGGATGCCCCGGGGTAGGGCAGGCACCCCCACCCCCCTGCCCACCCTCCCTTTTCACAATGTGCCATAAATATGTTTGTGGCTCTGCCTCCCCATTAGACTGTGAACTCCATGGGGGCCAAGTCTGCGGCATCTGCTTACCCCTGCTTTATCCCCAGCACGCAGAGAGGTGGCTGATACCTGCAGCTTCTCAACAGATACTGACTGTACAGATGTTCTAAGGTTTCCCACATGCTCCCCTCTCATGGGTGGTGTGGAGAAAAGAGGGATTAGAACTGGTAGATGGAAGGCTTCTGGATATCATGAGTCTCAAACTGGAAGGTGGAGGGCAGCAAGGTGATGGAACCCTGAAGACCCCCCCCCCACCCTCCCGCCCTCCTGCTTTATTCAGTCATACCAGCCTTTATCTGTTGCACACTAGAAGCTTATTTAAACCCAACCTGCCCCACCCCCATGCTTGATTGACGCTCTCCAACGTCCCCAGCAGCTGGTGGCCTAGCCTGAACTCCTGGAAAGAGAGTTTCCTAATGTGGCACTGACACTTGGAAGGTTCTTCATCACACCAAGCCAGAATTTGTCTCCTTGTGCCTGCCGGGTATGAATCCTAGTTTCCCTCCCACATCTTTGGGGACACAGAGTAAATCTAACCCCTTCCAACCATGCAGCCACCCATCCACTTCTTCAAAGCGTTTTCCCTTTTCCCTAAATGATATCCAGGCTTTCTCCGGCCTCCTCACCTTTGCCCCAGGAATGCTCTCACCACCCTGGGGTCTCCAGCAAGTCTCTTAGGACCTGTAAAGGCCCAGAGCCTCTGTCACTGTCATCCTGACGATGTCCCTGACCACCATCTTCTGCAAACATGTAGGGGCTTACCCCTCCAGGCCCGTGGAACTCTCTGATACTTCAACCATTGCACTTCTAATACAGACTTGGAAGCCCTTATCAAGTCTGATGATGGCCCTGAAGGCAGAAATTATGACTCATTTGCCTCAAATCCTCAGGTGCCAGAATGAAGCACTACAGCTGAGCAAGTGAAAATAGGGTGGTCCTAGGGTCCTGGGGAGCCGGAGGGGTTGCTGAAGAGGGCAGAGCAGCTGAGGGACAAGATGGCAGGGGACAGAGCTTCATAGATGCCAAGAGTTTTCCCTTTTGCCTTCTCTCTGCTAGCTCAGTCTGGGAGTAGGACATAGTTCTAGACTCCAGGGGAAGGTCTGACAGTAAGCCACTTTTACAGAGCCCTGTGGGATTTTAGGAGAACTGGTGAAGGTGATTTAGCCTCCTCCATCACATTAGCCCCTTCCATTCCAAAAAAAAAAAAAAATTGGTTCTGTAAATAATCCTAAAAGTTGTATGGAACCACAAAAGACCTTGAATACCCAAAGTTATCTTGAGAAAGAAGAACAAAGCTGCAGGCATCACAGTCCCAGATTGTAGACTATACCACAAAGCTGTAGTAATCCAAACAGTACAGTACTGGCACAAAAATAAACACATAGATCAATGAAACAGACTAGAGATCCCCAAAATAAACCCACGATTATATGGTCAATTAATCTTCAACAAAAGAGGCAAGAATATACAACAGGGAAAGGACAACCTCTTCAATAGATGGTGCTGGGAAAACTGGACAGCTGTATGCAGAGGAATGAAACTGGACCACTGTACACAGAAATAAACACGAAATGGATTAAAGACCTAAATGTGAAACCCAAAACCATAAAATTCCTAAAACATAGGCAGTAAACTCTTGGACATCAGCCTGAGCAATATTTTTCTGGATATATCTCCCCAGGCAAAGGAAACAAAAGCAAAGATAAAACTATTGGGACAACATCAAACTAAGAACGTTTTGCACAGTGAAGGAAACAGTCAGCAAGACAAACGCAACCTACTGAATGGTAGAAGATATTTGCAAATGGCATATCTGATGCAGATTAATATCCAAAATATATTAAATAACTCATACAACTCAACACCCAAAAAAACAAGTGAATTTTTAAATGGGCCAAGAACCTGAATAGACATTTCTCCAAAGAAGACATCCAGATGGCCACCAGACACATGAAAACATGCTCAGCATCACTCGGCATCAGGGAAATGCAAATCAAAACCACAGTGAGAGATCACCTCACCCCTGTCAGAATGACTAAATTAAAAAAGAGAAGAAACAACAAGTGTTGGTGAGGATGTGGAGAAAAAGGAACCCTCGTGCACTGTTGGTACGAATGTAAATTGGTACAGCCACTGTGGAAAACAGTGTGGAGGTTCCTCACAAATTAGAAATAGAATCACCATGATTCCATTTCTAGGTATTTACCTGAAGAATACAAAAACAGTTATTCAAAAAGATATACACACCCCTATATTTATTGCCACATTATTTACAATAGACACGGTATAGAAACGACCTAAATGTCCATCCATAGACGAACAGATGAGGAAGATGTGGTGTGCATACACAACGGAGTATCACTCAGCCACAAAACAGAATGCAATCTTCCCATGTGTAACAAGGATGGACCTAGAGGGTATTATGCTAGGTGAAATAAGTCAGACAGAGAAAGACAAATAGCATATGATTTCACATACACGTAGAATCTGGCCAGACACTTCACAATGCTCCGAACGTGCTGGCGGGGGAGGGGGGGCGCACAGTGCTGATAAAGAAGGCCTATGTCATGAAGAAGCCCAGGCCAGCAGGGCAAACAACACAGCTCCTCAAATGCTTTTAATGTGGAAAATGAAAGGCTGGAGAAGGTAAAGTTTGGTGGGACTTCGAGGGAGGAATGTGACCTTTGAGCAGAGACTGGAAGGGCAAATATTAAGACCCATGTCACAATTGCAGGCATCCTCGGATAAACATGCAGGAGCTCAGAATGAGGCCTGAAAGTGGGCAGGTGTGGGGTCTGATCAGGAACGAGGAGCCTGGGGGTGGGAGAGGCAGAGGTGAGCCACCGTCTAGGCCTGGAGCTTGCACTCTCCGCAGAACGGAGGGCAGGAGCAGTGGGGCTTTTAGGGAGGGATGTGAATTACTCTCTCTATCTGTGGTTTAGGGGATGGATTTGGGGTGAGAATGAGCTGGCGGGCCTGGGCCAGTGAGGAGGCTGCCGGATAGTCTGGTGGGAGCTAAGAGAGCCCAAGATGGCACTTCTCAGAGAAGACAAGTCCAGCCAGGATCTGCACATACGCAGGGCCCATCTCAGCCAGACAAGCCTGCCCCCCACACCCTACAGGATAAGGAGGGTGATTCTGTACTGTTTCCCAAGACCTCAACAGGAAGAAAGGACTCCGCTTTCACCACCCTGGTGAGGCAATTTTACACAACCCTGACACAAACCGTGCTCTGAGGAAAACTCCAGAATCCAACCTCCACGCCCACCCGTGCCCTCCCCAAAGTTGCTGTAGAAAGCCCTGTG